ACACTAAGAAAGATTTAATTTTATAGATTATTCACATTTAACTACCTATATGTATCAAGTATTTGTGTAACGTTTAATAAGCATGGATTGGTAGGTACACATAGCATAATATATCTACATTTATATACGATCGAATAATGAAGTTATATTAGTACCTATTGTTTTTCGGTAATCAATCTATTTTTAGATAATAGAGTGCTATATCTAATATATAATACTTAGATTAAGCTATACAATTAAGATGACCTAAAAAATGGATTGTTTATCAAATATATTATGCTTATGTGGTGATACGTCGATTTCAGTGCTTATGTACTCAAAAGACCTATTACATCGAGTAACACCTACACCGATATGAAATTTAATTTTGTAATATTTCGTTTTAATAAATGTCAATGTAAGGACTTTTAAACTTTAATTACGAATTGTATAACTTACATAAAACATTTTTCTCATAAGCCCCTCGTAGCAGTGTCATTACCAATTTACTTGAAGAAATAAATATGAAAAATTAGTAACTTATTACCAGTTWCAACTACGTAATTGAGTACTTACCTACTCTTAAGAGGACGTCGTGATACTCGTGTGTGTTGTGTCCATCTTACAAGTGCGTAACATCGCAAAAACTATTTGGCGCGGGATAGAACCACTCAATCTATGCTCTTAGTAGAATCATCAAAAGTTAATACACAATATAGAAGATAATATTTTCTGGGGCGTAGAGTTTTTATTTGTTTGATATCTTTAATAAGAAAAAAGTTATAATATTTTTAAGTTTTTCAAACTTCAWTAACTTTTGATATATTAGTCTTATCGAAAAAATAAAAACGCTGCAACACAATTMAAATTCTCCTTCTCTCGTGGTGAAAATTTGGTTTCTTAGTTATAACTGTCGACTTCTCGGTTTTTTCCCGCGCGAAACAGTTTTTGCTGTTACGCACTTGAAAGACGGAGACAACAGCGGGCATCACGTCCTCTTAACTTGTTTTTTTCTGTTTTCCTCCTATATTTACAGATAATAATTTCTTGTAGTTTAAAAATTAAGCATGCTGGCACACGGTTTATTTTAAAATAATAAATACAGCTAAATGTTATTTAGATATTAAATAGTGGATACACCATGTCTATTATAAAAATCTTTTGGTACTATTACTCAGGGTTTTTTTAGTGTGCAGTGAAACACATTTTGTGCAGTTCAAA